GTCATTCCCATTTTCAGTATCTGGGAGGCATCTGCTGATCGTAGAAGGCAGCACTCGGGGAGGCAGCAGCAGTCTCTGTCCCTTGCCAGCTTAGTTTTGGTGACGGTGTCAGGATGCAGAGGCCGTCATGTCACGACGCCACATGCCTTGACCCTGGTGCCCCGCTCCCCGGGGTGGAGCACAGTCCACACCCCAGCAAGTTGTGCCCCTTCCCAGGTGAAGAGTGGTTGGTAGTGGTCCGGCAGCTTATGCAAGTGTATGGATGTGCATACATATTTGAAACATTCTTTTAATGCTTAACTCCCTAGTGCAATAAATTACCTTTTGTTTCCATCTAAAGTTTCATCACTTAAATTGTGTTCCTTTTGTTAATGTTTTCCATGTTTCAGTAAACAAAGGCACTTCTGAATGTGCTCATCCATAATGAGATGTATAATCAGTTTTGTTTAGCAGCACACTGGAAAGTGCACAGTGGATCCCAGAGTTGTTGTAAATTCAAAGCAGTACCTTTTCCACCTCATGCACACATTTAACTTTGCTGGGAACTGTGCACATGCCTTGAGAAGAAAATGTGCCACCTGCTGTATAGGACTTTTTTTGTTTACTCAGTTGCTTAACCTAGAAAAAAATTCCACACAAAACAATTTGCAAAAATGCATCAGAACATTATTTTTAGGCTTTGAAATGCTTGAAGTATTTCTTTCATGTCATTTCTTTAATAAGGTGGACCTCTTTCTTTCTGTGATCCAATCATAATTTATATTGATGTCTGTGGCAAATAATTATTCAATGGATTGATCATATACACATACTTTTGGCTTATCTTTAAATATTTGGTGTTTGTATCTTTTATTGTACATGTAAGTGACAGGATATGATTTCTTTCCCCTCTGTGGATAACATAGATTTTATAAGCAGAAAGAGTGCCTGAAGAAATCTTTAGGGCAAGGATTGTCAATCACAACTGAAAAATAGAACTCCAATTTGCAGTCCTCTCAAAAAGTAAATTATATTGGAGGAAGAATTGGGAATAATGTGTGGACATGGTAATGTTCTTACAAGGAGTAAAAGCAACTAAATCTATCATGTGCTGTGAATTATTTATTGAGCTCCATCTTGTAAGACACCCTGTTATTATAATTCTTAGACTGTCTTGAACAGAGGTTGCTGATTGTTTTGTGGTGTAATAACTTGAGTAGATATTGCTGCCAGATGATATTTGGATTACTATTCATAGAATATAGTTTAGGAGTTGTACCCTTGTCTTTAGAATTCAAATACAAGTTTTCAAGTGCATTCAACATATTTATAAAGAGTGTTTCTTTCTTGTTTTCAGTAGCTAAACAAGATCACTTTAAGGAGGTCATTGAAAAATCTCCTTTGGGAGCACTATTGCTATGGGTTATTGATCTTTTCAATTAAAAAGCACTGGGAAAGTTGAAAGGTGCCTGCTACTGGGATAGAGAACAATATAGGAAGTCATAATGTAATTGGTAGAATAGGGGCAGCTGACTTGAAGAGGAAACAACTTTTTTGCTTGCTTTGGAGGGAAAAAAAAGTTCTTTTTAATGAAAAAGCATGAGGTCAAGGGAGTCTATCCAAGATATGTGGTCCAGGCAGAAATTGCTTTGGGATAAGTGTGTCCCTATCTACAAATAAAGTTTCACATTTTGTGTAAAATTAAGTTTGTTTTTAATACAAGTACCAGAAAAGAAGGAGCAAAGCTATCAGTAATCTTCCAAACACAGAGGTAACTCTTCTTACAAATATGTGCACATACAAAAACAGCATAAAATCATCATTAACCATGTAAGAAATCTAATAGATAATGGGACATGCACTGCTGAGACACAGAAGGTCAAACCATGAAATAACCATAACTGGAAAAGTACTAGGTCAGAAATCCCACACACTGTTGTTCCCTATTAATGATAAGGTATGCTTCTTCTTTAACTGTGAGTTCTCACCTTTGCCCTAGTAAGAACTGAATGTATTTCTAATGTTAATTAACAGTTTGGGGACTTCAGATCCCTTATGATTCCTGTATTAATAGAAATAAATCCATATTTGGTTTAAAATATTATCAAAAAAGGATAAAAAGCAAGTGATTTTTTTTTCTGAAATAAGCTAAAAGAATTAATGAAATTCTGTACCATCACAATTACACAACTGTCACTAAAATGCATGGTACAGGAAGGACTTGTCTACAAACAAATGTTCTATGCTACACTGCTCTGAGAAGTTTGCCTGCTGTACTCAAACTGGTGCCACTGTGTTGGCTTGCTACTGCAGATGAGCTGATTGCCACTGCCAACCACAGTGCTAATTAGCCAACCCACAGCACTGTGCTAATATAGCTACACTACTGCTGCCTGGAGGGATATCAGGGAAGCAGTGCATTGTATTTGAGGTGTCACTGCATGGAATGGCAAAGCTGTTTCTCCTACAGAATTTCTCTGTACTAAGAAGTGGTTCCATCATCAAAGATGGAGCTCATAAACTTTGTCAATAAAATATCTCCTGTTAATTTAAAATAATTGTGTCAACCTGTAAAGCCTCCCAAGCTAAGAAATCACTTGTAGATGGGTCTAACATTTAAGCGTCAGATCCCAAGCCCAGTTTATGTTGATTTACCTAGCTGAGGATTGGACTTTATTATCAAAGTGATGATAAAAATGAATAGAAACACCTCCTGGCCAAGGACAGGACAATTTTAAATATATTCATCATTTATTTTTATTCCTTCAAGGGACACTAACATTTAAATATGGAATAAACAGCAGCTAACTGTGAACTACAATATTATATTTCAGTGAACTTCTGCTGACATCATAAACAGCTACAGCAAAGTTTATAAAGCTGAAATACATGTCTTATTAATTCTGTAATCTTTATTTCCAAAGCATTTATGTTAGGGCTCTGGTATTTTTATTAACTGTTGGTCTTGTTTCCAGAAGTCTCTCTTCATGCTGTAACCCAGGACAAAGAACTGGAATGCTACACAGGAATGCTTTTCGGAGGACTCCACCCTTACCTCGGGGTAGGTTTAATGGAATTACGGGACCAGCATATCAACAGCTAGAAGAGTCAAGGATCACAGATCAGGATGCAGTACCTTGCCAAGGGTAGGTAATAAAAGCAACCAAAGCAAGCCAATTAATTATCAGCTGCAGAATAAAATAAATAAATAAATACTAATGCCTGACTACTTAGTCTACATTTGTTATCACAGTGAGTACAAGATTAGAGTCCATTATGCATCCAGTGTGTATAGTATTCAAATGGAAACTATATCAAAGCATGTTAGCAGTTGAAGACATTATCTTTGACTGGTTTCTTTTCTTAAGCTCTTTCATGTCTGAAGAAGACATGATCAGGGGAAACAAAAACAAACAAAAAAATTGGTTACCTGTCATCACTTACAGGTATTTTTTCCCTTTTTTAGCAATATCATTATCTGTAATTCAATGTTTGTTGTACATAGCATTCATTTCCTTTTCCTTTGACACTGGAAAAAGCCAAATTCATGTACATAATATTAAATAGATCCATGTTAGTTCCACAAATAAATTAGGTGTGACCATTTCACTTTTATTTGCCATTTAAAATCTACAGAGTCATTTTTTTTCTCTTATCACAATTAAAAATATGCAGCAACTGGTCTTCAGGTCCAGTTAAACTAAGGCCTTGAATTTCAAAATTGTGATGTGCGTGATCAGCTTCTTTTGAAGTCAGTTGGAGTTGCTAGTGTTGAACTCTTCTGAAATCCATTCCCATAATATTTAGTTGTATGAAAGAGTATTGCATCCTTTATGTCTGTGTAATAGGGAGCCTTCCCAGGGCCAATTAGAAGTTGGCCCGCCCACCTATTTCTGGGCTAACCTCCTGCCTCTCTCTCACCTGCCATACCTGGATGAAAAATGATTAAGATATTACCCAGGAGAGTGGCTGCTCATTTCTTGCCTCAGTGCTAGGGGGCATTATCTGTGGCTCCAAACCCTTCCCTACACTGCAGCCCATGCCTCACAGATGGCATCTAAGCTCTTAATGTCTCTGGCCCCACACTGGGTCCTATAACACTGTAGTCTGGACGCCAACTAGACCCCTCCCATTAGGCAGACTACTCCACCCTCATTCTGGGCTGCCAAGCTCCCTGCGCTCTTCTCCCTCTCAAGCGTAGCCCCCACCCCCGTTTGGCCACACAGGCCCTGGCCTCACCTCCAAGGCCAATTGGAACGCAAGGCCCCCAGCTCAGGGCATCCCTCATGGTGTGCCCCTGGCCCTTTTGACCCTTCTCGTCCTGGCCCCAGCATTGACCAGTTGAGGGTGTCTCAAGTAAGACTTCTGAGCAGCTAGCCCGCACTCTCTTACATGGGTCTGCCTTCTTTGGCCCTAGTACGGGGTTACCCACCCAATTGTGTGGGCTGGGGTTATTAAGGTGCCCTGACCCACCTTTCACTGTGGTGGTAACTGGCCTTGCATTTCTTTGGGGCTGTCTCACCATAAACAGCCCCACCAGGTCATCCATCCCCGGCAGAGTGCAGTTTTAGGTCATGCCCAGGACTAATGAGACCTCCAAGCCATCCCCATAGCCTCACCCTGAAGACAAAGTTCTTCCTGGAGCATCAGAGCTCAGCAGGGAGATATTTCTTCCCTGTTGACTGGTCACAAACTGCTCCCCTTTAGCAAAGAGAGCTGGGCATCAAATGGTTGCGCTCATCAGGCACCTGCCCTCTCCCTGGCCTAGCCCTTAAAGTGGCAGGCACCAACAGTGCCCTGCCACAGTCTGTAATCTTTATAAAATGAGAAGGGAATGGAACTCATTTGAATGGCACTTAATCTGGCATGAGTGAAAGCTAACTGTGCTGAGATCAAAGGTGTGCTTTAGAATACAGCTGCCCAACATCTCAGAACTGCCCATGTGCAACTTCTGAAATGAATGGAAGAAAATGAAGAAACAAAACAATTTGTATTCTTTAAAGTCAGAAGGGACTACTCTGGTCTTACATCTTGGTTAACACAGGGCAAAGGTACTTATTGGAATGCACATGTATCTATACTATACTTTTCATCCTAAATGATGCAGATTTGCATTCTGTACATAATACAGTAGCATGCCAGTAGCATTCCAACTGCAACTTTGGGTTTAGATGGTGCCAGCCTAGTGCCAGTGGTGGTATGCTACATGAAGTCTGGGAAAAAATATATTTTGAACTTCAGCACTTGCACAGATTCATAGATTCATACATGCAGATCATTGGGTCCAGCCCCCCCAACCCCTCCACTCTAGGCAGGAGGACAACTGGGGTCAAGTGACCACAGTGAGGTGACTGTCCAGTCTCCTCTTGAAAACCTGCAAGGTAGGTGACTGGAGGGAGTTTATTTCAGTCTAAACACCCTGACTGTGAAGGAGTTTTTCCTGGCATTAAGCCTGAAGCGGCCTTCTAGGAGTTTGTATCCATTGGTCCTGTTCTTCCCCAGCAGTGCCCTAGTGAACAGTTGTTCACCGAGCTTCTGATGCACTCCTCTGATATAGCGGTAAGCTACTATCAAGCCCCTTCTCAATGTTCTCTTCTTTAGGCTAAAGAGGCCCTGGCCCCTCAGCCTTTCCTCATATGGCTTGCCCTGCAAGTCCCTAATCATATGGGTGACTCTTCTCTGGACTCTCTTAAGTTTTCCACATCCTTGTTGAAGTGTGCCACCCAGAACTGGATGCAGCACTCCAACTGCGGTCTCACCAGTGCTGAGAACAGCAGGAGTACCACTTCCTTAGTTTTACACAAGATGCATCTGTTGATGCATGCCAGTGTGTTGTTTGCCTTGCTGGCCACTGCGTTGCACTGATGGCTCATGTTCATGCGGTGGTCAATCATTACCCCTAGGTTTGTTTCAGCTGTGGTGCAGGTCAGGCTGTCACCTACAAGCCTGTATGCATGTTGAGGGTTATTTGCTCCCAGATAGAGCACCTTACACTTCGAAGTGTTAAACTTCATCTGGTTCTGGTCTGCCCAACTCTGGAGCCTGTCCAGGTCTGCTTGTATCAGCAACCTATTTTCTGGCATGGCCACACTGCCCCCATAACTTGGTGTCATCTGTGAACTTGCCAGAGAGCTTTTCAGTCCCCCATCCAAATCATTGATCAAAATGTTGAAAAGCACCAGTCCAAGCACAGACCCTTGAGGGACACCACTGGCCACTTCCCTCCAGGACAACACACATCTATTCATGAGAACTCTCTGGGTCCTACCCTGTAGCCAGTTTCCCACTCAGTGAACCATCAAGCAGCTGAGCCCGCAATCTTCCAGTTTGCCCACAAGGATATTGTCATTCAGAATTTTACCTTCCATGAGCTTATCAAACATAGATTCTTTCCATGATTTTCCCTGGGACAGAGGTTAGGCTGACTGGCCTATAGTTGCCCATGTCCTCCCTCTTCCTCTTCTTAAAGATGGGCACAATGTTGGCCCTCTACCAATCCTTAGGGATCTCCCCTGTGTGCCATTAATTCTGAAATAGCTTTGCCAGGGGTCCTGCGATGACCTTAGCCAGCTCCTTCAGCACTCTCAGATGGAGTCCATCCGGTTCTGCTGACTTATAAATGTCTATCTTTTCTAGTTGGTATTGCACCCGCTCATCATCCACAGTGGGGAGGCTGTCAGTCCCAGCGTGCCTGCTATGAGCCTTATCTCGCTTGACTTTCCTCATAGTCCAGTGAAATACCCAACCAAAGCGGGCATTCAGTAGTTCTTTTTTTCCTGAACGTCAGTTATCAGCTATCCTGAGGTGTTAAGCAGGGGTCTCACACTTCTATTTGTTTTCCTTCTACTGCCTACATACCTAAAGAAGGACTCTTATTGTCCTTGACTCCTGTGGCTAACCTAAACTCAGTCACTGCCTTAGTTTACCTGATCATTTCCCTACAAGTGCTGGCCACTAAATTATAGTCCTCCTTGGGGACTGTCTCTATCTTCCACTATGCATATATCTTTTTCTTTTTTAAGAGGACCACAATGTCCCTATTAAGCCATAAGGGCTTACCAGCCCTCCTGCTACCTTACCTCTTTACACTTTATTTACAGGAATTTATGTATATAACTGTTTACAGTAAAAAAGCAACTGTTTGTGTGGAGGGTTACACAGGGCCTAACATGGAGGGTGGGAGGCATGCCTGAGGCTGGAGGCAGAGCAGTGGCGCAGCAGGCTACAGGGTGGCAGCTTTCATCCCTGCTCATCTCCCTTCCTCCCATCATTCATGATGGGAAATTGGCTAGTTTAAACATAAGACAGCTCTGGTGTATTCACAATAGGAAAAGTTTGGGCTTTTTTTAAGTATCCAGTAATACTCTGAAGAATGAACACATTGCTCAGTTTATACATATCACAGGAAGTTGTGCACAGTGCTTTCACAGACCTATGGAATTTAACAGTGAAAGCTCTCCATTAATGAGAACCCACCCTCACAATCCCACTATCTCATGGACTAGTTAAATTTCATGCAGTGCTGGGGTTCATGCGGTGGCCTTACAAGGATGCACAATTATTATTTGTTTATTGAAAGATAGTCACAAAGCCCCTCAACCACTCAAACATTTTTCTGTTAGACCATGGAATCTTTGAAAATCTATGAATGGGCATGGGATCTTGGTAAATCTAATGCCATAGAGCTGCCAGTAGAAAAGAGCAGAGGAATGTGTTGCAGCTTCAGAGACTTCCACAATAGATCAGTACCAGGTGGAGTCTCATTATAGTAAATGAGACTATCCAAACATTAACATTATATTAGAAATAAATCAAAGTTCATCATTGCAGTTCTGTCCCTCCTCTAAGACAGCTTTGCATCCTGACTAGAGCAACTACTAAGAGAAAAAAATCTGCATCTGATGCATCAGCAGAGGACAATGTTTGTTTCTCATCAGACTGTACCAAGGCAAGAGAAATTAACTTCCCCCAGGTAACAACATCTAAGCTTTCCTGGTTTAGTAATCACTTTATTTGCTTCATGCAGGAACTTACATCATACAACAAAAAGTCAGTCTGACCAGATCTGGTAGCCACAACTCTATCTTACCTTCATGGGTGGGCATCTTTAGGCAATAAATTTAGTAGATTTTTGCATAGTTATTAA